CCTGCTGAATTTGCATATCCTCTTTCTACACTTTAGCATAGTCTAGATAAGCCCAGAGACACGATAGCAATTTACAGGTATCTAAAATGGTGTACAAGGAGGAGGGAGAAAAATTGTTCTCCTTGGCCTCTGAGGATAGGACAAGAAGCAATGGGCTTAAACTGCAGCAAGGAAGGTTTAGGTTAGACATTAGGAAAAACTTCCTAACTGGGTGGTTAAACACTGGACTAAGTTGCCTGGGGAGGTTGTGGAATCTTCATCTCTGGAGATATTTAAGAGCAGATTAGATAGACATCTATCAGGGATTGTCTAGATGGTACTGGGTCCTGCCAGGAGGTCAGGGGACTGGACTCGATGACCTCTCGAGGACCCTCCCAGTTCTAGTGTTCTATGATTCTATATACTTAGAATTCCACAGTTGCTAAACAGCAGAGTAGTGGAGGTCATTAGAGGCTAAAAGGCATCTTTAAAATGTGGAGGTCAGATGCTAATGAGGAAAATAGAAAGGAGCTCAAACACTGCCAAGTAAAATATAAAACTATGTCAGAGAAACAGAGCATTTGAGAAGCAACCCGCTAAAGACACACAAACTAACAATAGTAAGTGCAAAGTAGACTGCAAGGAGTTGGAGAAATCTCAGAAAACTGGATGACTGGGTAACAAAACACAGATAAAATTCAGTGTTAAGTGTAAAATTATTCACATTTGGGAGAAAAATAATCCCATCTACACATATCCAATGATGGGTTCTAAATTAGCTGTGTAACCTCAAAGAAAGAAATCTTGGTATCATCATGAATGGTTCTTACAAAAATTCTGCTCAAAAAAAGACTAACAATATATTAGGAACTATTGGGAAAGGGATGGAAAATATGATGCCACTATATAAATCCCTGGTGTGCACACAAGTCAGAAAAGAGACAACTAAAGTAGGAAATGATAGGTGTATAAAATAATGAATAGCATGGAAAAAGTGAAAAGAGAAGTTATTTATTCTTTCACACAATACAAACACCAGAGGTTTCCCCAAGAAATTTATGGTCAGCAGATTTAATACACACAAGAGGTAGTACTACTTACGCAATACACAACTAATCTTTGGAACTGTTGTGGTCAAAAGTAAAACTAGTTTAAAAAAATAACTGGATAAAAAGATAGATTGATTAGTGTTTGTTGGTCAAAACAGTAAGGGATGCAAACTCATGCTTGGGGTGACCCTAAATCTCTGGTCAACAGATGCTGGGAGTGGAAGACATAGGCAGATCACTCCGTAATTGCTCTGTTCTGTCCACCAGCTTTAGCATAATGAGAAGCTATCAGCATTAGCATTATATTCCATTGGAAACCTCCATAACTGTTAAACTAAACTCCTGGGCTGCGTCTAGACTGGCATGATTTTGCAGAAATACTTTTAACGGAAAAGTTTTTCCATTAAAAGTATTTCCGCAAAAGTGCGTCTAGATTGGCACGGATGCTTTTGCGCAAAAAGCGCTTTTGCACAAAAGCATCCGTGGCCAGTCTAGACGCGATTTTGCGCAAGAAAGCCCCAATCGCCATTTTAGCCATCGGGGCTTTTTTGCGCAAAACAGTTCTTCCCTGTCTACACTGGCCCTCTTGCGCAAGTATTCTTGCACAAGAGGGCTTTTTCCCGAGCAGGAGCGTGAAAGTATTTGCGCAGGAAGCACTGATTTTGTATATTACAAAGTCAGTGCTCTTGCGCAAGTTCAAGCAACCAGTGTAAACAGCTGGCAAGTTTTTGCGCAAAAGCATTTGCTTTTGCACAAAATCTTGCCAGTCTAGACGCACCTCTGGAGTAAGGGCCATGCTTTGTTTTTTCAGAGCTTTAGCATTCTGATGGCACTCCATAACTGTTGGAAAATAAAAAGTGGAAATATGGGTTAGTGATTCATACTTCCTTCTCCCATTCTTTTTCAAACTCACAGGTGTTGCTTTTGTGAGATGAATACTGCCTGATTTCTGTTGCCATGCAGTTCACCTGCATCAAGATTGAGAGCTTTTTTTATTAAATAATCTTGGGAACAAGATAAATGTACTTTGCTTTTGTGTAGAATGTAATTGATATCTGTTTTTACGATGAGCATTTAAAATCTCTCACTGTACAATCAGGAGGCATGCATTATCTCCTGTATAAAGGCAATGCAGTATTGAAATATTCCTCCTTAATTTTGGTCAGAATGAACAAAAGTGTCTGTGTTTATTCCTGCCTAATGCATCACAAATCTGCTGACATGCTAACCTTGGAGTCTTGGCTGGCGTTAATCAGGCCTGTGCACCGGCAGGAAAGATGTACCTAATGCACTCCATCAGTGCAGTTTGCATATGGAAGTTCTCACAGGGGAGCTGCCCTGTGCCAGCTGAGGGTTACCTGCCCACTGCAGTTATTGTATGTAATTATCGAACCAATCTGTTCAGCCCAGCAGGGTTTAGATGGTAATCATGAAGCAACACTTTGGAAAGGAAAGATGTAATGCGCTTTCCCCTTCTATCAGCTATGTGAAGTTGTAATACTACTTTTAAAAAATACTTTAATAAAACATTTCATTCTTATTCAGTTACTAAAAAAGCAAGTTAAACTAGCAAAGTTATGTATGTGGGCCAACAGATCCTATATAAAATGTGACTTTAAAAAAAAGTGTATATAGGCATCTTAAGAATACTTTGCAACAGTGGGATTAATTGTAATACATAGATAACAGTTCTGTATATTCAGAAGTTTTAAGATAATGTGTTTAGGATAAACTTGAGCTTTCTCTTTAATGGCATCTAAGTTCTTTTTCAATGGAAAATGCACTGTCCGCGGGTGTTAGATACTCTTCAACTGTGCAAAAAAAGGCTGTAAGCAAGTACATGGATTCAGATAAAGTTTGATTTAATACAGTACATGCTCATTGCTAAAATATAATTAATTTTTAGTTTTTGGTAAGAATATTTTCTATATTATTTTAGGACATTAAGATGGATCCTTTCTCTGTAGTGATAATTCAATTTAAGTTATTACTAAAATTAGGCCTTGATTTTTGAAATGTGGATTGTTGTTATAATTTAAAATAAAAACATTCCTAAAATGTGAATGGATAGCTTTTTGCGGAAAGGCAAAACTGAACTGTTTGCAATTGTATATTATGATTAGTACTGTGTCTAACTTGTAGATTAATATTTTTGAGTCAGTTGCCTTCTGCATATAGAGTATAGTGAATGTTCATATCAGGTGTTACAGAGATTGTGGGGAAAAATGAGATTAGGTGACTTAGAATCATGGAGTAACATATGTAAATATAGGTTCTACCGTAATCTTATTTAGTCTGTATACTTGGAATTTTTGCTGTTGTCTCAACCACTTTTCTTCACTCTTTCACAGAAGAAAAGAAAGGCTGCAGCAGCAGCCACAACAGAGGAGAGCACTGGAACAGATGTGGAGAATGTGGAAAGTCCACGAAAAAAGAGATCTGCTTGTTGTAGTAAGTCAAGAGCTACAATTCCATTAATCTGTGGTGTTCACAGTCTACTGATGAGAATTAGTCCTACCTTTAAATTTTTGGCTTTTGTGGCAGATATGTCTCAATTTCTTCCCCTCATCCCAAAGTTATCTGTCGTATGTATAGAATTATATGAATACGTTCAATGTGGCTACTTGTTATATAAAGCTAACGGGACTGTTGATAAGCATTAGAAGCTGCTCACTTCCCCCTTTTGCCATTGGTCATTCTCCCCTTCCTTTTCATTTTTCTCTTCCCATCTTGTCCAATTCACTGTCAGGAAACACTGACTCCTCAGGACCAATTCATCACAACATGTTACAGCCAGAGGCTAGCAGCAGCAGCAGCAGCAGCTTACAACAGTGAGTGGATTTAAAGAAAAGGAAAGGAGTAGTCTTAAGGCTAGATAATTATGAAAATATAATTAAAATAATTTGGTATAGTTTGGCATAATTGATTTACGTAGAGGAGAAAAAATACTTATTATAAGCCAAGATTAAGATTCACTAGTACAGCTGTCTGGGAAAACTTGTGTAGTGTGTATTCATGCTGTTTCTGGCTTTGGCCTATGCTATTCATCCCTCACATAGATAAGGGGGAAAATTAGTACATTATTCTGAAGAATTTTTTATTTCGGATTATATTATAAATTAAAGTGCAAGCAGTGTCCATGGCTAAGCATAATAATAATAACAACAAAACAACGGAAAACAATTAGTAGTCCTGTGGCACCTGAGAGACTAACAAAAATATAAATAGTATAATGAGCTTTTATGGACAAAACCCGCTTCTTCATATGAGCTGGGCTGGAAAGCCAGACACACTTGAGGTTTAACAAGCAAGACTGATTTTATAGCAAATGCAGAAGTAAAGGAAGGAAGGCAGGGGAAAAAATGACGCTACACTTTGAAGTAGAATTGTTTGTAGCTTATGAATTGAGCCTGGTATAAATACCTAAGTAGTATGAACTACAGCAGTCAGACTAGTTTCATATCTAAGTTTGACATGGCCCTTCGTGTTTCAGCTGATTACATTACAGAGAAATCTGATAATGTAAAAATTATTTGTGCATATTTTATATGAATGTTTCAGTATTGTTGACTTCAATTTATTTGTAACTTTTTCCAGTCCTTCAGTGACTGAAAGATTGTTAATTAACTAGATTACACTTTATGAATTCACCAAATAATTTAGTTTTATGCTGACTTTTTTATTCTCTAGTTTAAATAGATTTTAATTAAGATCATTTTACACAATGTTTAATGATTTTTGTGACCACCAAATCTGTACACTAACTGTGGTTTGGTCACTGCCCCAGGTATTGGCCTAAACCAGATCCAAATCTGAAAAGATTGTTCTTGGTTCTTCCTAGTTAAAATATTCATGGTATCTTTTTTATGACTACTGCATATCTTTATTGAATTGCCTTCTAAAATATGAGTTAAGTAATAAACAGTTGTTCTTTGTGTGCATCGATTTGAATCTCTCTGAAAGTGCACGTGTCCTATGAATGAGTAACAACTCTGTCAGGGGCTATATGTGTCCTGTGTCACTACATGCTCTTATGTAAGGGCTTAAAGAATGGAGTGGCTGTGAAACTCTCTCAACTTCCTCTTCCTTATCAAATGTGCCAAAAAGACAAATCAGAGCAAATGTCTGATCTGCTATTCTACCTTGAGCTTTAAACTTGCATCTGAATATTTTATGAAGAAAACCCTCTTCTACTGCATGTTTCTAATTGATTTGGATGTTCCAACAAATTTAAAACAAAAGCCAGGGGGTAACCCCTTTGAGGCTTCAGACATTTCATGCTAGCAGTCATGGTGGAGGCTCAACCCATCTGGGTTAAACTCTGTCCACTGTGAACTGATCTTTTGCCCTTAATCAGCAGGCACACAGATGATTTTTCTGTTCTGAGGGGCACACCTCAAAAGACAGATGCTCAATCCGTTGTTTCTTCTTGGCCCACATTTTAAATATCGAGACAGAGAAGAATCAAATTACAGCTCTTTGAGCAATCCATGAAAGCGTATTTGATTCTGGACAGGAGAGATTCACGGAGTCTGAATAGAGGAGATTATCCACAGCAAGTGTTGTAGAAAGCAGGCACTTGACCACTTGTTCCAGCAGGAAGTCCTCAAAAAGGGCATCGAGGCCATTGACACAAAGACTTAAGGCCCTGACTGCCCTGACACGTGCACTCTGACATCGTGAACTCTGCACTGACTGCTTTGGTACAGACTCCAGGAAAAGAGACCCATGTCATCTGCTTCGCAGAGTGCCAAGCAGCAGACCCACAACAAATGCAATTGCAGGTTACAGTATATAGTGGGTTCATCCTTCAGGACGAATTAAAACATTTCTCCAAAGACTAATTTTCCAAGTCCTCCTTGATTGTGAGAGCTGGGAGCATGGTAATGATTATGAAGATCATTCAAGATACGATGTTACTGTTGCTTATTTTGACACCAGAACCATTATTAGTTCTGATATATGCCTTTTGAGTTACTGCCATCTTCTATCTCCTTATTACCAGGACAGGCACTGGATTTACTCAGAGTCTCTTTTCCCAGAGAAATACTTCATTTCACCATCTCCAACTCACTCATTCTCCCCTACATCACTTAGGGAACCCTGTCCTGTTAGACCATAAAAGGATCTGAGGGGGAGTTCTGGAAATACTCCATTCTGGGCACTCTTGTGACTGGTGTTGACTTGTCCAATGCCAATCTAGCCAGTACCCTTAATTTTCCATCTTCACTTTAATAGGCGTACTAAGAGATACCTTCCTGTGTGTCAAGGAGCATACTCTGGTCACATGTTGCCAGGAAAAGGCAGTGGTTTTCATCATCATTGACTTAAATAGCCAGGCCTCTCACCAGAAATGGAGGAAGTCCCTTATAAGCAAGTGGAGACTTCCCTCCCCGCTAAAGACGTCTTTAAGTTCTCCTTTATAAGACAGTCACTTCAGCCCCTGCACCAACCCTTGAAGCTAGGGCCTTCCAAGACCTGCTCCTCAAAGATATCTGAAACCTTGATTTTGGAGACACTGATCCTAGGGAATACACACAAGTTGTTCTCAGCTGCTTTGTGCTATCAAAAATTCCCCCCCCCCCCCAGTTAACAAGAGTATACTAGACTCAAAGTAGAAAAGTACCAAGTAATACTCTAAGCGCTTTGAACACTTTCCTAGGCATAGCACCCGGATTACTAACATAAGCACCTGGATAGTACCTGATGCAGAAAAAGCCCAGTCCATTAAGGGTACTTTGAAAGAAAATTTCTTGTGATCCTTATATCTTCTCTGTCAGAAGTTGGATTCATCTGCCTTACTCCAATTCTGTATCACAAACAGCCAGGCCTTGCTGAAGATATTTTTCCTTCCCATTTAAGCCACTGTACTATGGATCAGTGTTCAGAGATGTTATTGAAGAGAGCCAGATAGCAGCAAATGGATTAGTCTGTTACAGCTGCTAGATTATGTCCATGGCAATCATAATAAGATGTCTCTTGTGGCTACAGCAATCTGGGTTTCTGAGAAGTCCAGGCAACTATGGATCCTTCAAGGGAATGGAGCTATTTTGCAAATTGGTAGGCGCTATTGTAAGGGGAGTCTTCCTGACTTTTGAGAGATTTTAAAGTAAATCGCATTGAAAAACAATTTCAACTATACAGATAAAATAATGGATCTAAATTGGCTGTTACCACATAAGAAATAGATGTGGAGTTGTTGTGGATAGTTCTCTGGGAAAAATAAGTTTTGCTCAATGTGTGATGGAAGTTAAAAGAGCTATGAGTATTAGGAACCACTAGGAAAGTGATAAGGCAGAATATATTATAATATCACTATGAATCTATGGTATGCCTATGACTTGAATATTTTGTGTGCAGTTCTGGAAAAAAAAGATAGATTAGAATTGGAAAAGGTACAGAGAAGACCAATAAAACTTATTAGGAAGATGGAGGAGCTTGTACATGAGGAAAAATTAAAAAGACTGGGACATCTCAGTTTGGAAAAGATGAATAAAGGGAAGATTTGATAGAGGTCTATAAAATTATGTATGGTGTAGAAAGTAATTAAGGAAGTGTTATTTGTCCCTTTCCATAATACAAACACCAGGAGTCACCCAACAAAATTAAGCAGCAGGTGTAAAACAGACAGATATCCTCTGGCAAGGATTTCCACATGTTGACTGAGTTTTGTGTAAAGACCAAAATTGTAACTGAGATTAAAAAAAAAAAAAAAATCCACAAGGTAAGTTCATGGAGGATAGGTCTATCAATGGTTATTAGATAAGAAAACCAGTGATTCAACTGATGCTCTAAGCCTCTAACTTTCAGAAGATGGAAGTAGATGATTAAGGATAAATCACTTCATAATTGTTCTTTGCATTCCTTGTGAAGCCTCTGGCATTGTCCACCATCAGGTCAGGATACTGGGCTAGATGTACTGTAGGTGTGAGCTGTTACGGCTATTCTTATGTCTTTTTGCTGCAGTTATTAGTGACTACTGTGAAATCACATCCTTCTCTGATATGGACTTGCTTATATGCATTGTGAGATGGTACAGAGTCTCTCCAATGTGTCAGCGCCACCTCCATCATAGTAGGAGAAGGCATAAACACCATAGTTTTGCTATGGTATCATACTACTGTGTAGATGGGACACTTACTAGTGAGGAGATAAGCATCACTTTCAATAGCTGATTGGTGAGAGAGATACTGAATTCCTTGGATGAGGGGAAAAGTGGCTCTAAAATAGACAAGGTATTGGTTGACAGCTACTGAGCTTACATTAGTTACCTTCTCTATAATTCTCATTCCGAATATCATCACCCCTTCCTTATTCCCTCAGTACGTCACTCACTGCTCCCTTCCCCATGCTTCCTCACTGCCTCTCACCTCTCTGAGGTAGTTCTGGACCAGTAGCCTGGGCATGGGCCAGCAGTGGAGTGGTGTCAATGGACTGGTGTAGTAGGGAGTTGATACTGAGCAAGCTCTTGGACCTGGAAGTGATAGTAAAGTGAGGCCATTTCTTGCAGCTCAAGGAGGAGTTACAGCAGTCTCAGTGGCCTTATCCCACCCCTGCAGCCCTGAAATGGTGCTTTTAATTATAAAACAGAACATTGTGACTCATCATGATCCAAATGGGCCTAGTCAAAATGAACATCCTTTGCTCTGCTATATAGGGTGGAAGGAAGCTTATAAAAGACAATTCTCACTGTCCTACAGCATTCTATAGTGCAGATACTGACAAACAATATACTGGGTATGCATTTTATAAAGAAGCAAGGGGGATACCTTCTCCTTCCCCCTTGAAAGGAACAATCAAGCTGTAGAAAGTACCCAGTGATCCAGGCGTC